CCAGTTTCAGAGGAGGGTAGACGTTGTGGTCATTACTGGGTAAAGTCGGAAGATTTCATCTTTTGTGGCCGTGGTATCACAATTCATAGGTTATACAGAGTGCTTCACACAATATCTATGCTGCGCTAGTTAACGGTGGAGCGATACATATAACCATATATAACTTCAAGTAGTCAATTTTCTTATAGTGAATTACCGACTTTTTAGCTATTTACGTGGAGCGCATTGGCGTGCGGTCATTCCAGACACCGTGATGTTGAATCACTGCAGTGATTCCCGGAAAGACTTTAATCATTTGAAACTACATAAGTAGGAGTGGATTGAGTCATTAAGAGCTGCCGAAAGAGCTAGTTAAAATTTTCCTAAAGTTTTCGACCTGGTAAAGCCAATTTTTCGGGCGGTGAGTCGAAATGTTAGCACGTGCGTCCGGTTATAGAAACTCGTCAAATTCAAAGTTCTCTACGATAATGTTTGGGCTTTGCCCAGAAATAACCATTTGTATTTTATGCAGTACACAACTCACACGGTTGGTGTAAAATTCCCGAATGTCTCTGAACTATTTGTCGTTTCGGGGGCGCATAAACCTGCACACCGGAGACTATTTTCAGCAATTTTTTTTAGATTTGATCACATCTATTTCATTTTTGAGTAATCAAAAATACTTCGCACACCTGTGGGATATCCACTGGATCATGTTACGTTTCACACGCTGCTTTCAAAATATTTATATCCGTAAATTAACCCATCCACCTTCTTTTATGGATATATGAAATGGTGATATTTGTGGCAGGGTAAGAGGTTGGAGCAAGCCTTCAGTAATCCCAAGCCCCAGGTGATGTGTAACAATATATCTTGCGCAAGTAGCTCATAAGTGTGCCCCGTCCTTGGATGCGTCGTTATATTTTTCAAATGCTCAATTTATTGCATTGTTACTAGACATGGAATGGTAGATATACGTCACGCGCCCAGCTGTTGATTTTGATGTCTGATGGCTGCTTTTGCTAATTTATGGCCAACATTAAGTAAATGCAGATCCTTCCACTCCACCACGATCGAAATGCTTTGGTCATCGTAAAACCGTTGACTGTCCATGGCATGCAGGTGGTGAATAGATTTGTGTGCTCAGATTGGAATAAGCACAGTACTATAGCCCAATAGGCTACTAATTGTCTAGAAATTCTACCAAGTTTGTAACCCGTAGATGTGAAAAACTCAGTACAATTTTGAAGGGGGTACGGGAGCACGGTGGCCGATTAAACGCATATGTCCAATATCTAAACCACTTGCCAATGTAGGTCACGATAAATTCACCATAGTGAACAGCTAAGGTGCTCTTCAGTGATTGGAAATTCATACTTATCAAATCACGTCAGAACGTTTTTGACATATATATTTGACGGAAAGTTGACAAACCAGATATTCGGCGAGTAATAGCAATGTTGTACTTCCTTCTCTTGTTCACTGGTTGCCTCCTCACAAAGTGCACATCCCATGTGTGAGTAGAGCCTAACATGAAAATACATATTCTGTAGTATTTCACGAGAACCAGACACACTTGAACGAAGTAAGCGGACCATGTTCAAGATTCCTTTATATCTATGGGGCCAGGTAAGTTTTGAACCGTTTTGTTCCGTCCAAATTATAAGACGCAATATGTATGCAGTATTACCATTGAGCAAACCATGTTTCGAATGTTGCTTGATACTGGCTCGTCGTCAATTTGGGTACCATCGGATCGCGTGGATAAAAGTCTTTGGGTTGGAAAGAACTTGTTGAACCTAGCGACGGCAACTTCACTCCGTGTCAGCGGAGAACTTTTCTATCAGTTATACGTAAGTGGAGACGTGGGTGGACTAAAGGCAACAGTCAATATGGACGTGAGTATAAATGCCGCGATTAATTGTGGAGAATTCTAGTTCGGAGGAATGCTTATCGAAAACGTTCCTTTCGGAATGGTTGTGGGCGGTGCAAAGGAAGTATATGATAGCTCGTTTGACGGAATTATCGGATTAGGACGTCGCGCGATGTGCCCTGAACATACCGAACCTGTTTTCCATTTTTTCTCCCAAAAAGGAATAATGAGCCGGCAATTTGGATTCGAATTTAAGGAGTAAGTTAATGGCGTGCTGATTTTATTTCCGTTTATGATAATCGCTATCATGTCATTCAGCAGAGCAGTATGATTGGAAATTTGATTTCGGTGGAAATCACATTCATCTTTGACGTTTTGCAGCGGCAGTGCATCGTTCATGATGGGTGACAATCTGGAGCAATTTCTATCCAGGGATATGACCTTCGTGAACGTTGTTGATGGGCCTTATTGGGAAACAAGTGTTGATTGGTGAGCAAAGACACTTTCCCACTGTTTTCTATAAATGAACAGCTGGTTGCAGTCTCGCTCACATCTGGTCCCCCTCTTTGCAGGATATTTGTTTTCAACACGGGGTTTAGCACTGGGGATCACAGAATGATGTTTGACACTGGTGCTGGCGGAATCAGTCTGCCGGGAGATATTCACATGGCTATGAACGAAATTCTTGGAATAAAAAAACAGCTGAACCGTGCATATGTGTTTGATTGTGAAAAGTTGTCTTCCCTGCCTCCCGTTGAATTCCAAATACAAAGAAAAACATTTAAAATTATGCCGAAGCAATACACAAAACAGGTGGGAATTTTCGATTGTTAAACGTTTTCGTGACCAAATATTTATCCTTATTATCATGACAAATGCGTTCTTTGAATTTCGAAGCGATGATCACTAGCAGTGTGCATGGTACTGTCAATAATTGTGAATTGAAAGCAAACGTTAAAAAAACGGCCAGGCCAAGCAGAAAGATTAAAGGGACTAAAGCATTGCTTTTGCAATAAAAATTAATATTTTTTCGTGTTGCCAACATGAAGCATCGCTTTTCTGCTACATTTTACTTTTCAACACACGTTTTCAAACTTTTGTATTTAAGCTTATATAAGTATATTTATAAGTACGATACAGCAACCCTTCTCTCCTGTTCGGCTTTAAGGTGTAAAAGGTACCTGGTTTCACACATACCAAATTTAAAGAACCGGGAAGGCCAAGCAGGAAGAATAACGAGACTGGAGCACTGCCTTTGCGATAGAAATAAACATTTCCGTGTTGCCAACATGAGACACCGGTTTTTCGCTACGTTTTACCTTTCAACTCAATTTTTCCAACTTTATGTTCTAATATATATGTAAGTATATTTGTAAGTACGATACAGCAACCCTTTTCTACTGTAGCGCTTTAAAGCGTAAAACGTACCTGAGTTTACGCAGAGGCTACTTCAGTCTTCCAGAAATGAGGGCATAATAATCCTGGTCGAAATAAAAAGGACCCAAACTGGACACAAATGCCCTGGAGGAGCACATCATTCGGTGGTACTAGAATCAATAGTCAGCTTGCAGATAATGTGGTAATCGCCATTTGTTCCTGTCCCGAAGGCACTATTAGCGCATCCGCATAAATCAGTTGCTCTGACATCACCGAATGGAATGCAGTCGTATGCTGAATTTGACCATGTTGGCACCAGATAATGATGAAGAATCTCTGATAAAAGTTGTTTTTCCTTCTGGTGCAAGCGACTTGTCTCTGAGCACGCCTTTGTGCGTTCCGGTTTACCAGTTCAAAATTAATCGACAATGCACGCGAGAAAGCAGAACAAATGTTATGTAGAACATTTCTGGGTTACAAACCATCCGGCCAGCAAGTCTGATCTGATCATAAACTTGTAAAGTGGTTGTTCATGACAAATTGCCCAACCTACGGTATACCTACGTAAATAGTGGCACGGATAGTTTTAATATCAGAGTAGTTCCGTACACAAAGGCGACTTAATTTTTCTATTCTCACCGCAGCAAAACATCCTACTATCAAGACAAGACGGGTGATATTTCGGTGTATTTTCCACCCAAATATTGTTATGCTATGGCTCCCTTGATCCACATATTTATTATCCAGAACCAACATGCCTGTGTACTTGTAAATCAACAAGTTTATTCAACCTCAGCATTTAAAATTATCGTTTAATTAAGATGAATTTCCAACAATCAGTGTACCCATCGACCAACGGATCTATTCATGTAAATGTCTATCTCACCTTATATCCACACATCTGTGTCGCTGTCTGTCTATCTCCATATATAAATATATATATATATATATGCTTGAAGATGTGAGCTTATGGGCGTAATTATTAGTAACTATGGGTTAAGTTCGTTCCTGTATATGTCATTAGTCCGTATAGAAGTTATATTTGTCACACAATAACTTATACATACATATATATTTATGTGCAGAACACAATACACTTGTCACATTGTCGTAGATACATCTGAATGTATGTATGCATTCTGTTGTCTCATGTTTCAAGATAACCTGTTCTTTCACTCAAACGTCTTTTCCGGCAGACGATCATCGATGGAGTTGCGACGTGCGCTACTCATTTTTACAACATAACCGCTAACAGCCTTGTGGGTATTGTGCTGGGAGTGTCATTTCTACATTCATTCCAACTAATATTCGACGACCAAATGAGTAGAGTTGGCTTTGCTGCCCGCGCTGGAAGGTCCTCCATTTCTTAAACAGGATGAAAAAGCAACACAACAGCCACGAGAGAAAACGACATCTCAGTACGATAAAGTGGTGAAAAGCACACATATTAGTTTTCATTTTGACTTGGACGGAGGCACTCACATTCAATATTAGTTTAATTTACTAGTGCAAGTAGCTATATGAAATGCCAGTTTGCAAGTGTCACGGTTTAAAGGACCCCAATTTTGTTAGATTACACCAAAACCGACTTGTTAAGATGCCTGTGATACAGGACATTTTTGTCCTGCATATGCATATGCTCTTTACATATGTGGGGATGTTCATGTAAAATGGGATGTTTAGTGTAAACACCAGCTAATTCGTTGCTTTTACTGGCGGATGTTAGCAAGAGCATCCCGAAACATCTACTGGCGAACATTCGTGGGCGTTCTCGTATGTTCTCAGGCAGCAGAGACGCGACCGCGTGTCCGAACCAGGGGGCCTTTCCTACGATCTTTTTGAAACTAAGATGCAGTCGCAGTCATAATACTAAGCACAGTAGCTGAAGTGGTACATCCGATATTTGTTCTAATTTCAACTTGTTATGAATGCAGTACCAAGTAAAACATAACGTGCAAAAGGGAGCCTATACATACCAGTTATCGAGAGTGATGAATTTTAAGTGTCGGTTTGTGCGCAGCTTGCCATTTTGGCACAACGACACAGCAAATAAATTTGGACGATTGTTCTCAATCGTCCAGTAAAAAGGTAATGGTCTCTAGTGTTGTAAACTGATGAGACGAGACGAGATTATTCCCAATACACCGTAGTACCATATGCGGCTTTAGCATGACCAACACCGGCATCACAAATCTGAACTCCGTGCCTGTGCGCGATAGATACTTTAATACTAGACTAAGTAATTCCGACGATTTTTAATAGCCATTTTTATACTTTATGAAGATATCTGTCCAGGCTCATTTATTCCTGTGGCGGAGGTTGATGAAGCCAAGGGTCGCATTCTGGGACACACGCGTACTTTCCAGGATGGTCGATACAATGTTCTGGACGAAGTACATCACGCCATCACAAGCGCGGTGGAGCATATTTTGATTCGGTTGCCAGGGCATGAGCAAATGCTTGGGTCTTTTAGTGCAAAAGCCTCGAATGGCACTCGAATGCCTTCATTTTAGAAGTAGGCAGCTGCGTGCAACCAACAGTATTGATTCTCCGGTCCCTTCAGATATAATATACCTTATTCAATCAGGGCACAAATCAGTATCTGTTACTCCGCAGATATTACGAATGCTTTTGCGGACCAAGCACATCCTGCTTACACATTGGGCATCCACGTTGGAAAGTGAAATTTCGTGGCTTGTTCCATAAAATCATGTAACCTAAATATGTATTGATCTGCACACAACATTTTCTGTTCGGATTCCGCCCCACAATGCCCAAGCAAGATCTGTCGAGATGCCGAGGTTGAAATAAAACGGGTCCGTTTTGTCACGTTATAAACACCCAGGCATTTTCCTCGTTTCTGACGATCGGACAATGCTTACCGGATTATTTTTCTAATTCAGGGCATTGCGGAACAAGGATACCAGTTTCCAGTTTATTTTGTGAGGATCAGTTATGGCGCACAAGTACTTTGGAATAAATTTCCAACGAGAATCAACAGGCATCACCACAACCGACAGCAATTTTCGAATACTTCAAACAACATCCCAAACACCGAAATTCCATGAGCATGAGAACTTTCGCAAACACAGACTCGTACAGATAAGTCTAAGGGTTAGAAACTAGTAAAATAAAGCACGTGATTTTTCAAATGTCAAATCAAGTTGGAAAATCGTGACGGGCCCTTTAAGCTGGCGGTTTTTGATCAATACTTTGTTGCGTTTCCGCAAACGCCTCGTAATACATAAGAACAGTTTCCAAAATACTCTCGCTAATAAAGTCCCCTGTGGTAATCAAGCACAGAATGGATGAAAGCGACCGTGCTACGGTACAAGATGTTTGAACACTTATGAAAAAATTTAATTAACCGCGTGTTCAGTAATCTCATGTGTCCTCAAATCGTTTGATGTTATTCAGTGTCGCTGAGGACCACCCATGAAATGGGCTGAATTCTTCTGATATCTGTCCTGATCTATCAGATCTTTTCAAAATCAAACATGCCCGAGTGCAAATTCGCTAAAATGCCGCAGAACAGCTTGGCCTCGAGATGAAGGACGGGTGGAACGGCAAGCCGGCTGTAAAAGTCAAAATGCAACCGGACTGTTTAGTTGGCCGATTAAATCGCGGTCAATTTTCTTTAGAATATTTAAACAACCAATCACTTTGGTTTGTGCCACGGTCGCATGTAACGTATCAAACCACAATGAAGTAGGACGAGCTATCTAAACTTATATATCAAACTTCAAGCTTAACAAAGCCAACACGGTTCGGGATCTTGGGTGGCTAATGCAGGGAATCATTCGATATACATTCTGTTGGATGCATGCTTTTAGGGCCGCTGTTTAGTTGAAACTGAAAGTGACAACGCTTTTCACTTCTTGGACGTTAAGCTAGTCAGAAATTTCCCGGATTCAGTTGAATATAGTTCAGTGGGATTGGATAGGGGTATGTGCTTGGTTGAAGTTGGTCAGGAGAGCATTCATTTCGGGACGGCTTAATACTACCATAAAAGTAGCATCTACGTACCATCGACAAACGTGCGTGCTCCTGATCTCCCCATTCAATTGAACAAGCCCCAGTTTGCCCATAAAATGTTACTCATTCAGGGACCAGATGGAGAACCCCTGGCGACTAAACGGGTTCAAATCAGAGGTTTGTCTACAGATGGCCCAAGTGGACGGGACGATACACAAACTTCCTGAGGTTTGCTCCAGTGAGGCAAAAACGAACCCTGATTCAAACTCTAACGAACCGAGCTCTGATGATGCACTGGGATCCGAGCTACAGCATTTTGCTAACGTGCTACGGGCCAATGGTTACCCGGAGAGGTTTATAACCAAGAAAATGTCCGACCACCCTATCAAAACGTCAATCGCGATCGCTGGAAAGAAGCCAATATATTTCGTTACCGTAAAAAGGCGTATAAAGGCTAATAGCCGCTTGTTTTAATCCTTAAAACTCACATTTCCGGCTGCAAAACTGCGGCCTTGGTTTGCAACAAACCCTTTGCTCAACTTAAACCTCAAAGACAGGATGGCAGTACTCACCCAGAATATGATTGTGTATTCTTCCTCATGCTGTTATTTGGCGACGTCTGTTAGACGCATGACACGTCAACTTACAGGGAGAATTCTCAAGCACCTCTCTTACCGGAATACCACTCACATCAACAGCTCAGCCAGGAGCTCAGCCGTATCCCAGCGACTGATACCGGGCACGTAGTCATAACAAATGAGCCATTTCAAATCATTTATTGCGTGCAAAATAGACTTCCAGTATCTACTCAACGGCCTAGCTTGACCGCAGCTGAGGTAGTCGCTTTAGACCTGCGAAACCCGGAACTGTGCTGTCAAAAACGTTTCGTACGAACGCTGAGTCTACCTGGGTCCTGTGACATGAATCAACCGGCCAAGTCACTCAACAGCCCTCTTCACTGTCTCACAGCATCTAACTAGATGCGACATTATGGGTGAAAAGCGCAGTCAACCAATCGTTCGTGCCTCCACGTTTTGCATTTCATTTGTATTTCATTTTTTGCTCTTATCTTAATCATTAATACTGAACTGATCAAGTGAACCCGAAAACATTGATGTTCGCCACCGTGTTATGTGCAAACCATGTTCAGGCAATTTTTGAGAAGTCATCAAATTGGAGCGTGCAAAACGGTATTTAAACATGAAAGAATCAAAATTATGGTAAACTAGATTATGGGTCCACATCTGCTTATGGTTCGTGCCCATTTTTACGTCTGTCAAAAGAAGCAAAATATACATCCAAAATGTGAACAAACTTATTCCAAACTTATCCTGAAAAATGTTGTTTGAATATTTCGTTTTGGATTGATTTTCCCAGCTTGGTATTTGATTATTTACGCCCTGGAGCAGTTGCGCTCAAAATTTGGAGGGGTTTGGGTCTTCCAATATTAGGGTTATGCAGATTGCTTAATATTGGTAGGTAATCCGTTCACCAAAGTTAGCAGAAATGAACCTGATTTTTCACCTCAGAACCTCATGAACTCACGCCAATAGTTTCGCGCTCATCAGGCATGTTAGTGTCAGATACACTAAAAAAACAGTTTGTTAGTGTTCGGTAAGTCCGTTTGAAACCAGCGAAAAAACTCCAATCACCATCTCATACGTTCAGATTGCTCTAAGAAGAGTGCATCCTTTAGGCGATAAAATGGAAGCCTTTGGAATACGAATCAAAAGCACCCTAGACAAAGCCGAAACATTTTTCATTACATAAATTCGCCGAGGACCGTGTGTCCCTTTCACCTCAACTTTCATCACGTTGCCTAAATTAAGTGATTAATGTTGATTGATTAATTGATTATTGATTAATACTGATTAATTGATTATCGATTAATAGTGAAAAGCAATTCCTTCACCAAAGTCAGCAGAAATGAACCTCATTTTTCACCTCAGAACCGAACAAAAAGCACCCTAGACAAAGCCGAAACATTTTTCTTTACAAAAATTTGCTTGTTTGTTATTTTGTGTGCCGAAGACTGTGGGTCCCTTTCACCTCATTTTTCATCGCGTTGTTCAAACGACCTACTCTTCGTACTTCAACCCAATAGGGTCATGTGCCATGCTTTTTAAATTGTGAAATATGACAGAATGTATATGTAAACCTATGTTGTGCGTCAAGGGAATCGTCTTGTCGTATGTGTGGTCTGACCTAGGGTATCCCCAATATGGAAGGGTACCAAACGCCACTAAAAACAATTTTTGCTGAAGATATTTGTGAATATATCTCAGAAACCTAACTAAAGAGCTAGGTTGGTAGAACAAGTTGACTGTTCAGACGGTGTGAGCACAACGGGAACTTATGGTCGAGACCATTGCACTCGAGCCCGGTATATTCTTAAACGCTACTGAATGAATATGACTACGCTCACAATATTAGACATCCAAAATGGGCGCATTTCAAATAGCCGTCCGCTTTTGCTTATTTGCGATCATTCGGACTAGGTAAACTTGCTGTTCTTATGAACTTACTTTATATTTTGTTTGAGGGAGATAGCGGAAAGAATAAACCATCACAGTTTGGCAGGCTGAATTGGATTAGGATCACTGAAATGTAAGATTTCAGAAGCAAAATTCCAGATTTTGAAAACTGTGAGAGCATCATAGTAGAGGCCTAATAACGGCATGATTTTTTCATTCATTAGATGCACACGAGGTTCGCTGTTGACCACATCAGGCTTGAGAATGTGGAAAACTTATAACTGCTCATTAGCTTCACGTGCATACTGCGAACTGGGCGACATAGTTGTGCTTGCATCAGTTCCACCATTCTAATTGAATTAAATCATTTTATGCCAAGGACAAACTGGTAGACTGGGCTTAGCCGTCGTGACTTCAATTGTGGTGTTGAACGTTTTCTTTAAATCTTTTTGTGTGTATCGCGTTCCTCGTTTTGGTGCCCATTCGTGGCCCAAGCCGTCTAACTTTCACATTTTGAGTCTCGTATTATTTTGTGATTTTATTTATGGCGCCACAATACTTAATGAGCGCCTACATAACGTAAAGATGCCAATGTGATTGTTGAAAAACATTCATAATTTCCATAACACTACCAACAACAATCTAATTTTGAAATCATCAAAATCTACACTTCGTACGTCAAATGAGCAGACTTTGACAGCGTTGAGTAATATGCAACCGACCAGCTCAAGTTTAGGTCCATTCAATCCACAGAAATATTTCCAAATTATGCGGATAGGTGTTGGGTCGATTAAGCAGCCACAGTTCTGATTGGTCCATGATTATGTGCCGCAAAAACCCCGAGGTCGTGTTCTGAAGACGATTAGGCGACTGTTACCTCGACGATTTTGCTAAACCTCCGGATATCCTTCTTTTAGCTTTTGCATCACCCAATTCACAATCTATGAATAAAACATGAAAAAGTTCAACTTATGCATTTACCAAAATAATTAACAACACTAGGCGCTCGACCATTTGAGACGAAAACGAGTTTTTTGTTAGATTACAAATACGATCCGCTTTTGTGTCTGCAAATCGGGTGTGAATTATAGAAAGGGTCTCAATTCATTGCTTGCATAAAGCCAATCTCTAAGTTGTCTGCCAGCAACTGTTTGGTACCCTTGGGAGCTCCGTATAGGCCTGAATGGACTAACAAATATCTTCTTGAAGATGGTTGACACGCGGCCTAGCCTTTCAAAGCGTCTAGTTTTGACCAGATTTAGGTCGATTTTAAATACGTCAAACCAATTTCCCAAGGGTAAGTGTCTGCGCTACAGTATTCCAGTTGTTGCTGCCATTCCCGTCAAAATTTGGTTAGATCCTGACCTGCAAACTTGAGCGAGGTTAAAAGATTAAAATATTAAAAGATTAAAAAACTAATGGTTGAAGCGATCGACGCCCGGTGACGAAAAAATTATATCACCGTGGTGGAGAAAAACTGTACGCACTCGGATTGTGACAAGCAAATCATCAAACGCGCATGAAATTAATTCACTGCACAATCTAGATTGGCACTGCGAAACTTTTTATATCCTAAAATGACTTTGCAATTTCAGGTAGAACAAACAAACCTGCAAAATAACGGCTCACATATATTGTATGCCTATGTATCATACATTGAACGCAGAATATTAGGTAGCGACTCATGCGTAGTTTCATGCCAGGCATTTGCCCAATATTTTTGTGCCAACATTGCAGCAACTGCAAGATTCTACAATCGATTGCGATTAATGATATTTCAGTTACGGTAAAAGTATCGACGTCCCAGGTCGTGAATGCCGTAAGCGTATTTATGTGCTCCTATTGGAAAGACCACTGTATTGCGCACCAGAAACGTATTGAAATCTTGGGACACATAGCAGGTTTGTGAACCTGGAACAATTAACATCTGAAGTCGCATACTTTGTGGAATGTATATTAGGACATCTAAACGGTATTTGGTTACACAGTTTTCGAGATATCTGGTCTATTCGTCATGCAAGAAAAAAATAGTTGTGACGATATACCAGTGCGATTTCTACATGGAAGGTGTTTGGGTCATCGTTTGATCCAATCCAATTTGAAACATAATCTAGTCCACGATACATATTGTAAGAAACGTTAAAAAAATCCAAAATGCGGGACGTTGTACTCGTGGATTTTATTCTAATCGCCCTGAATGTTTGCTTCCTGGAAACTGTCACTTCCTACCTGTGAGTGTTGCTCAGCACGTTAGACCTTTTTCGTAGATTTCCGGAAGCATTAGATGAACTCGAGCGAGATAAACGGAGTGTTCGAAATTCCACTGTATCCCTGGGGTGATGTAAATTTCCTATCGTTTGCACCATTTACATTATAAGTCGCAATATATATGCAACATCTCTATTGAGCAAACTGAGTTTCGAATGTTGCTCGATACTGGTTCACCATCGATTTGGGTACCTTCGGATCGGTTGGATAAAAGGCAATGGCGCGGCAAAAGTCTACTACATATTTCTCAGGTCACCTCATTGAAGGTAAGCGGAGAATTATTCGACGAGCTTTACGGAATCGGCGGTGTTAGTGGAAAAAAGGCAACAGCTGACATAAATGTGAGCTCTACATGTCACGACTGATTTCGAACGATTCTAGTTTGGCGGTACGCTTCTCAGAAACATATTTGTTGATCTGGTAATGGATGGTGCAGAGAAAATCTTTGCTAATCCGTTTGATGGAATCATCGGACTGGGACGACGGTTGATGTCTCCAGAACAAACACAACCTCTTCATTATACCGTGTCTCAGCAAGGACGAATGAGTCAAAAGTTTGGTTTCCCATTTCAGGAGCAGGTTAGGTATCTAGCTAAAATGTGTACGATTATTCATTTTTATTTTCATTAGACTGTCGCGCATCGCATTTCTCTCCCACTTTTTCCGGTCGCAGTGGTTCATTTTGGATGGGTGAAAACCAAACCAAATTTTGTCCAACTATGTGACCTGCGTAAACGTTATTGAAGGGCCATACTGGGAAACGCGGGTTAGTTGGTAAGCAAATAACCCTTATGATCGAGTCAGGTTAGCTGACCGGAATCTTGCTTCATTCTCCAATGTTCAATTCCATTTTGTAGGATATTCATCTTCAAAACGGGATTTAACGTGGAGAATCACAGAAGGATTTTTGATACTGGAACTCCTGAAATACATCTGCCTGGGGATATTCACATGGCGATAAGCGAAGTACTCGGGATCAGAAGACAAGTCGATCGAGTATACGTGTTCGAATGTGGAAGGCTGCCATTCCTGCCCCCGGTCACTTTCCAAATGGAGGGGAAGATGTTTCAAATTATGCCAAAACAATACACAAGTCTGGTAAGACATTATTTCTAACGAGCAATTTAGAAGAATAAGCATTGGCGTTTCACCTGAGAGTCTTTCAATGTAATATAGAGTTTGGCAAAAATCAATCTTTGAAACCTTACACAAACCGCCAAACAATCAGTTTTAATCTAGCAAATACGTCTTGCGTAATACTACCTCAGAACATGTCGAAGCGTTTACCTTACTTACAAATGTTGAATGTGGCGGCGAAGTTGGATGATAAGCTTTCTTCCCCTCGAGTTGAAGCATGAAAGCTCAAACGCACGCCAAGAATTTTTCGACAACGGAAAACTCTTCCATGGACGTCTACAGTGAATACAAATGCGAGAGGGAGGCAAACAGGCTTTCAGTTTGCACCCATTTAGAACCCATGTACGAGGTCCGCTTGAGTGCCTAGGACGAAACAGGTTTCGAATTTCAATCCCGCTCTATTTGGGTTGCTGCAGCACGAAGAGGGCGGCAAGGTCCAATTGGAAACACGATACTTATGCTTAATGCATGAACCCACTTAAAGAACTCATTATGTACAACGATAACCCTAGGACTACATCTTTCGGGAGCATTTGAAAGTCGAATGACGTTTTGTTTGTCCAGGATGAAACAAATAAAAAATTGCGCATTGAAACTTGAGCCATCGTTTGTTCGAAACATTCACGCTTACTGCTCATGATTTTCTACATCAGCCCTCTTCTTATACGATAAATATTTTATTCCACAGACTACCACCAATGGCGATATTACATGCAGAACCCTTTTTTACAATACGTCTGCCGACTGCCCTGTAGGACTTACCATGGGCATGTCCTTTCTACATTCGTTCCAAATGATCTTCGACGACAACGCTGGTAAAGTTGGTTTTGCAGCACGCAGCGATAAATCCTTTATTTTTGAAGCAAAGTAGAAAGAAACATAGCCACATCGGAGCAAGAATACAAATCTACACAAAATTACAAAAAATAATTGTGCATAGTCTTATCGTTTTCAGCATGGTTCACGGGGTCAAATGTGATATGAAATAAATATATATTCAAAACATTTGCAGTAGCCCAAAAAATAACGTTTGCAAAGAGCTGTCGTTAAGATCCTAGCCAGACAAACCAACCATGTTATTGACATGTTTCATTCATGACTGGAATTCTGGAGCTAATTTTGAGTTAAACCATTGTTCTAGAAATTATTCACATGCACTACGTCGACGATATCTTCGTCGTCATCACCAACGCCGAACAAAGCAATTCCTGAGGACTTCAGTTTCGCTCTTATTAGAGCTCACCAGTAGTGCATATCCAATGGCCGTGTCGGAATTTGAAACCCGGACATCCGACAGGCGAAGCGAGCATGTAATCACTACGTGTTTACACACTTGATCGATGTGATTGTTGTGCCCGACTGATCGAACGATGACCCAGTAACTGTCCTGGTTGTAGGGATTGATTGGCGATTGATTGATCGTCGTTCGATGAGTCGGGCACACCAATCACATCGCTCAAATGCGAACACGTTCGCCTGTTCAGACGTGAGAATTCAGATGCTTCCAACGTGTGTTGGTAGATTAGTGGTTACGCGCTCGCGTCGCATTTCAGATGTCCGGGGTTGAAACCCCGGCACAGCCACTGGATATGTACTGCTGATGAGCTCTAGTATGAGCGAAACTAGAGTCCAGTACTACTCTTTGGTGTGGACTCACCGAAATAATTACGCCAGAACAAGAACGCGACCGTTCAAACGAGAGCGGTGTGGTAGTAAACCAAATACCCATCCCGCAAAACCCCAAAATTCCTGAGGAGTGTCTCCGAAGGAGCAACGTTTAGAACTGACCAATACCTTGAAGGTAATCTGGCTTTCTTAGACGGTGGTAGAATGAAGATCGCGAAAGGACAAGAATGTTAGCAGAAAATAGTCACACGAAACGTGCTTAACTGATTTGCGCATTGTCTGTGTGTTCTGCCGCGTTTTCCCTGTAAAAGTACCCCCTTCCGAGATTCCGAAACTTATTTTTTAATGAGCGACCGCAATGCACATTATTGAACCGAAATTCCGCTTGTCTTTGTCTTGTATGCGGACACTGACGGGCGCTGTGCTGGATAGGGAACGTTTGAACAGTTGTTGTGATCCACAAATAAGACACTATACGAAAGAAATTGGAATTGTGAGAATCGCGTAAAAACCGCACATGAACGAATCCAGCACACATATTAATGACCGTTCAGATGATGCCTCTACTTCAGCTCCGCGACCACACAAGCTGGCGCCTGATCAAAAGCAAATTTATCCACCGGAATTACAAATGATTAGATTCACTAAGGAGACATTACCGCACGCTCAATCGGTTACAACAATGTGGCAGTTTAATTTGGCTCTGGTGAACGTTGTAACATGTGGTTTCCGATATTAGGCAAAACGATACTAGGGGACCTCTTCGACCAAATTGTTTGTGGAACATGATAAACATGGTTTTCTTGAGAGTAAATTGCATATGGCATCTGCTGATGAGGATACATCACTTGGAACCGGAGATATTATTTTTTTTGCCAATACGGTAATCATCAACATTAGAACTTCTGAGAGTAAACACATGTTGCTCATACGAAACATTAACCCAACATGTAACATCTGAGGAGACAGGTCTTGTACCACAATAAAGAGTAGACAGAGCTTGTTGATCCAATGCAAAGTGAACTTTATGAAAACTTTTATAATAAAATTGGGGGAAAGAATTCGATCTAGCTAGCAACCAATATCCACAGGAACCGTTCTGTCCACGGCGTGGAAATTGATCTCCAGCTGATCAAAATCATTATTTTCCATCGTTGTTTAGAAAGGATAGGGGACTGATCCATCTTCCATCTGGAAATACTGCTTGATGTTCTCCAAACATCGTCGAACCCGAAGGACCCAAATATCGCAAACTGAAGGAGTCCGGTGACTGTAAGGCAATTAGCTTGAGCCTTTGAAACTTTTCGTATCATGGACCCCGTTATCGGACACCCGAAGTTTTCTCCAATTTTTTGCGAACAGCTGAGACCATCGGTAACACGAAACTCCCCCTTCACATGGAAGACACCACAAAATCTTAGCCGGCCTAACGTTGCGTTAACTCCTTATGGCCGAAGAAATATTAGCTCGTCGCAAACCGATTTTTTATGTACTTCCGTATACCAATTTAGCTGCAAATATGCAGAATGAATGAAAGTTATGGGCGCAGGATTAGACAGCCGAATTTTTTTGCTGAAATAGAAGTCTTTATTAACTGTTAACGTCTTCATCTTATTGGCGGCTAACCCAATTATGGAAGATTGTTTGCCCAGTAACCGGGAAAAGCAGGTGAAACATAAATACACTTTTAGGTTTTTGAGCCTTGATTGTTTATTCTCCTGCAAGCGTGTTATTTGCAGTTAACGAGTGCGCGTTACTGGGCACAAAAGCATTGAAGAATGTGGCCTCCAAAACACAGAAAATTCCGATTCTTTTTATTCTCATGCTGTCTAATTCATCCAGGTAATAAATCCAATGTGACTGTAACAGACCACGCAATATCCGCCCCACAGAACGCTAAAAAACATAGCTTTTGGCTGCGGTCGCATTAAATAAAATGTCGGAATACGCATGGCTTTATTTCTCATTTACTCCTTTTCGAAACGAAATTGTTCGTCATGACGCGATGGACTTCTTTAGTTAGAGTCAGTGACGATTACCCGAAACTCATTAAATGTTTGTCCCAATAAGAAGCTGTGCTTAACTACGTCCATTCTGACAGCACTTAGAGCCATACAGGCATGCTGTTCACTCACGGAGAAATCGGTTTACAAAAATAGGTATTAACCAGTGCCGACTATTGTTCCAGCCCAGCGATTTATTCGGTTTCTCGATTGTGTAGTACATTATGGCCGGACTTAATCGGCAGCACGGTTTGTACAAACTTCTTAATATATTTTTCTGTTTGATTTTATGAGCGATAGTTTGCCCAGAGGCAATTTTTTGGAACCCTATATATATGGCTTGATGCAAGATTTGTAATTCAACAGAGCTATTCTTAACAGAACTCAAGTGTCAGAGTTTGTCAATGTTTCCTTCACTCTACTAATTCGTTTTGGGAAGAGATGATAAAGCATTTGACACCTTCAGTTTCTTTTTTGTGTGACCAATATCTGTAGGTAATTGCTTTGAAAACTGATTGTGACAACTTATGCGGGCAGGCAAACACTGGGTGTGAAATATACATTCACCGTTGGCGGCCATCTTCTAGAGGAAGGCTTCAGTGTGAACTTACTTAGGACTTAGGCAGAAGGGACGATTGAAACATGCAGAAACAATCCTAAGGTGATCATAATTTTGCTTCCTGTAAATAGGTTCTTACAAACATCCAGGCTTCTCAATTGAGATGGTCCAATAACCTATTGTTTGGTGAACTACCGCTCGATTCTTTGACAACCAAGGGAACAGTTGCCTTCCCAAAGGAACGTTGGTAATTAAGACCCCGCAAACAAACTGCTAATTACAGCATGCAGATCAACGCCAACGAATCAAACGCATAAGTCGCCGAAGACTTTCATTATTGAAAGTTTAATCTTTTTTGCAAAACATTTCAGCAGCCGACTTGTGAGAGCTAATGATACATCTGCCTTCTAACATTCTGGAATTTAATGTGGATTTCCTTAACATCGTGTGAAACCATGGTGACCAGCTAAGTGCGAAACTCTTTGTAGCGTTCCGGCGAAGCTCTCAATGATTCGAGTAGGTTTTCGGGCCCTCCTTGGTTTAATCCCTCGCAAGCGTATCATTTGCCGTTAACGAGTGCGCGTTGCTGGCCTCCAAAACACAAAACATTGCGATACTTTTTATTCTCCCACGACATAATTCATCCAGGTAATAAATCCAAAACGGCTGCAAAAGACCACACAACATCCGCTTTACAGCACGTTACGAAAGGTAGGTTTTGGTCCTTTTTTCATAGGCTCGGCTAGTGTTGACTAATAATCACCGCATTAAATTTAATGGCTACGTGTAAGAAAGCTGCAGTGCATAAAAGCTGCGTAAATAATGTAGTTCCAGAATACGATGTTTGAATGGAAATATTTCAAGAAGTTCGCAAAGGTATGTTGTTCGCAGAGGTCGAATTGGAACGCCTGAGTTACGCAGCGATTTAGCGGAATGTTACTTGATATAAAAATCCAGGTTCACAGACTTGAAATTAGGGATGCCTTTAATTGAAAGCATTAATCAATCGTCTCTGGAAGTTTGTCAGAAATTTCACTCATTCAGAGTATAAGACAGGCTGCTAACGAAATGCTATTGCTCCGTTAGTGTTAATCAGCTTCCGTCGCGCACAAACATATGGACAATAGAGAGCAATTCGGAATGTTTTGCCTACAGAGCTGCTGTTCTCATTTCCTTGTCTAAGAGCAAATACCAAATCCTGGTTAATGAAACCCGAACTAAAATTGTGTATTCATTTGTCAGCCAACAATGTAACCTTAGTCTGATCCAGTAGGACGTTCGTATTTGTGATTGTTTACCACTCTTTGTTTAGAGTGGAACAAACGTCTATCATTGACTTCTGAGTATGCTAAATAAGCCCGCTTATCAACAAAGGCATCGCAGTGATGAGAGTTATGAATGACGCGTATAATGCAACATCTCATTTCATTGTGAGGTTTCACAACTATTGTTCTATATCTGTCCGAAATTCGGTCTCGGAAAAGTCCACTTAAGTTGCTCAAATGTCATGCCACTAACCAAGTGTGCACAAAGAAGAGGCTGTATATCATCGGGAAGAACTCCATACTCCAAGCGAATGGAAACCGTTTCGCAACGGCGCACCAGTTTGTCAGTGAAGCTCTCTAAATCTAGCTACTGAGGACACTCCCAATTTGCTGAGCTTTGATGCTGGAACACACCGTTTGGTATTAGTTAAACATGGCACGCACACCTGAAGACAGTTGGCTCCAAATTCGTTCGACTGAGCTTCATAACTTTTGACCGACGATCACGTGGACAGCTAATAAATCTTTTGCAGAAAACTGGGCAGAATGCCGCAATACATAGATAACAGTGTTGGTCGTCGTTTTCTGTAGAGGACCTGTATTTTTGTTTTCTATCTAGGGAAGTCTGGAGTGTAAGAGACCGCTCAATCTACTCCAGTCCTATGACCGAGATAATGCCTACTTTAAAGAAACTGATATTTGGAATTTGCTTCATTTTTACATAATACTTTTTTGGCTATTTCTTAGTGGTCATATGACGATTATAGCCGCCAAGAACTACTCCTCTAGGGTAGTGTGCCTTCGCAGATACAATAAACGGTGGCTTGGAGTACATTTGTGCTTAGATTTCAACTATTTCAATGTTACATCCCAACCAGCTAGCATGTTATCTGACTCGGTACAGGTTTATCAACCATGCATTATTAGCAAATGACCTCATAAATTTTCTTCGAAATGTATGCAGGAACATTCGCATAGTATTCGATTGCACGATAACTTTTTAACATACGGACTAGTTAGGAAACAAAGACTTTGTCAAATTCTCGTTGAAAAACATTAGGCTTCCACTAACATAGAAGTGGTTGAGTAAGCGTTGAACCAATTAATATTGAAATATTAACTGTTCGTGAGATGTATTTAAGGTAGGCTTATCAGGTCCACAATTTGTCAATTTTTAGCAATGAGGATATTCATTCTCGGCCTTATTGGTTGTTTTCTGTCTAATGTCATTGCGTTTTTGTACGTAGCGTCTACTATATCCATTTTGTTCCCTAGAGTTTCGAATGAATCGGATAGATTCAATAGAGACAAGCGGTCCACAATCAGTATTCCACTATATTCCCAGAGCCCAGTAAGTATTGTATAGTTTCCCTGCGTTTAAACTAAAAGGCACAATATTTATCCAGAATCACTATTGCGCAAACTGTGTTTCAAATGTTGCTTGACACCGGCTCACCATCAATTTGGGTGCCTTCGGATCGGGTGAATAGAAGTTTGTGGGTTGGCAGAAACCTATTGAATTCGGCTCGGGAAACATCACTACAGGTCAGCGAGGAAGAATTCTACGAGAAATACGGATCTGGCGGTGTATATGGGATGAAGGCAACGGTCCATATGAAAGTAAGTTTGACAGTCCATCATTAATTCCCAACTATTCTAGATTGGAGGGATGCTTATCAGAAACGTACCGTTTGGTCTGGTTGTGGAAGGTGAAAGAGAAATTTATGAGAATACGTTTGACGGAGTTATCGGATTAGGTCGTCGATCGATGTGCTTGGAACAAACACAACCTCTTATACAGTCTATTCATCGACAAGGACTGATAAGTCGAAAATTTGGATTTCACTTTCAAAAGTATGCAGAGTTTTTTTGAAGTTTTTGTTATCATATAAACCAAGTGACATTTGGACATTCCCAATGCACTACTCACCAGTTTGCTGGAAATTCGTCGACAGCCCATGACCGGTTTCCTCCTCCTTGGGGCTCAGTAGGGAAGCGCAGTCCCCGAGTTTCTGTCAAAATTTCGTTCTACTTGAAAACAAATTACATAAAATAGGCGAAAAGTGCTCATTTGCAAACTAATTTGGTTTTTCGAGAGACCCGCATGCAACCTAGCTGAATCTTTTGTTTGTGATGTTTCCATGCACCTGAATGTGCTGCGCAAGGCCGCCCGATGTTTCAGTCGCTACGATATTCGACATATCGCGATACATGTACATTCGTAACGCACTACTCAGGAGGTCGCTGAAAATTCGTCGCAGCCCATGACAGGTTTCTCCCTCCTTGGAGCTCGTCATCATCGATATGCACGGAACTCAAAACACCTCGTTTACAGCGTGTTCTTTGACAACGACTGATAAGTGTGAGATTCGGATACTAATCTGGGGAGTATTATTAGCGTTTCCCGAAGCTTTTTATAGTTGTTCAAATATCTGAATAATTATTCCCTGTTGTTGGGTGTAAAACGCATGCTACCGCTGAACGTTTCAAGCCGTTGGCGATTATGGTCTGCGTTAATTTTTTTTCAGTCTCAATGCGTCATTCTTTATGGGCGATAATCTGGAACCGTTTCCCTCTGACGGTATAACTTACATAAACGTTGCTGACGGGCCTTATTGGGAGACAAGGATAAACTGGTGAGTAATGTCCCCTTCTGCCTGAGTAACAAAAGTTGACAGAATGCTTCCAATAGCCATATATATTGGTTGATTTTCTGCAGGATATTCATTTGCAAATTGGGATTACACACGCAGAATCACAGAATGATCTTTGATACTGGTGCCCGTGCCATCCATCTGCCTGGAGATATCCACATGGCCATCAACGATATGCTAAAAATGAAAACACTGGTTGATGGAGAACATGTGTTTGATTGTGAAATGTTGCATTTTCTGCCCCCGATTGCTTTCCAAATACAAGGGAAAATGTTTCAAATTTTCCCGAAGCAATACACAATACAGGTGAGTCATGCTCTGTGATAAGGATTACATTAGGAAAGTGTTTGCCATTGTTCACGTGCAACTTGATATTTTTAATCGCCCACCGATTTGAGGCCAGGAAACTTGATGGTGAGAAAAATGCAAGTTGTGCTAATGTCTTAAAATTATGCATACGTTTTCCACAGGGATAAGTCGAATCTATTTCTACGATGTTGCATTACATTTTTGGGAGCAAACTAATGATTTGTTAGGGAAAAACCGGGTGGTGAAATAATGAGAGTTACTTCTACGTCTCGGTTGTCGCAGGCAGTCAACCTCAAAGATTTTCACAAGTGAATTTTTTTAACAGGCGCCAAATTTTTATAAACGTGAAGTCATCCCTCGAAAAGAATGATACGGGGAAAAAACAACCCGTAAGGATTGTTAGGTATTGCTAAAACAGGGGTATATAACCGTTCAACAACAGACCTTAACATGTGTCCTGTGCATTGACAACGGTGGAAACGGTTCTTTTAGAAGTAAAAGAGGAAGGATTGGATAACGTTTTATGAATATTGACATAAATAATTCTTGTATGCAACAACAGGTATAGACTTCCAGGCAACCAACGGCCTTTTATTACGGTGCGCTCAGCCCATGCCATACTTCCATAAATCATGTATGCTGCTAAGCTGAGGAACCGAAAATGACACTCTTGGATGTCCAATCGATTTGTGGTTATAAAAACATCAAAGTTTCATTGCTGCAGAGTCCTCAGTTCGCAACTTCACCTAAAAACCCAGACTAGCTGGGAGTGAAAGAACTACGGAATTATGTTTTACTAGATCTGAGGCCTCTTCTTTGACTCTCTGCTCTACATTATAATCATAAGTATATAGAATCACCTTCAATAGAATCGCTACATAGCATATGTCAGAAAAAACTCGTGGACGTTGATGTCCTTTGAAAGGACTAGAAAATCTATTTCTCCCACGAGGACTTCACACATTGGGCGTTATCCTAACGGACGTTCAATGCACGTTTGCGTTCTGTACGTTTTCTGTTTGTCTTCTGTTTTTTGTCAACAGAAAACCATCGGTGGAGACACCAAATGTTGGACTGTTTTCTACAACGTCTCTGACAAAAGCCCCGCCGGCATAATACTAGGAATGTCATTCTTACATTCGTTCCAACTACTTTTTGACGACCACCTCGGTAGGATTGGTTTCATTGCACGCCACGGAAAGTCTCGCATTTTCTAAAAGCAAATCAAAGTAAACAAAACCACGAAATAGCAGGAATAACCATTCATGTAAACAACACAACAATATAATGTTGCGCAATCTCGTGTGTTCTCGGTGTGTTTCGAGAGACAGTCCTAATATTCATAGATTGTTTCAAGCGTCATAAGTTCTGTGAGTTTTGGTCACTTTTCACGAGTTTGGAGCAACGGTAGATGTAAACGCTTATAATGCAGCCTCAGATTGTCTCTTTTAAAGTGGCTCAGACAAAGCCGTCATTGACGCCTTGCATAGAGACAAAAGACGTGCCAACGGATCTACAGTTGGATATGTGCCAGAAGTGTGGGAAGTTTCAGCGTTTGAAACGTGACCCAAGTGGTTCTTCTCAGTATGGATAGCTGTTCAGAAATCAAAAGCATTTCTAGTGGCATCAAGTAAACTGCATGAATGTCTAACCTATTACGTTAGGGGGCTTCTGCATTCGGAATAGGTGCGAATGTTTTGAGACTATATTCAACCAGTTTTCATAGTGTTGCATAAACTTTTTCAATGTGAATGAGATTATCCGTCAGAATTATCAGCAAACTGAACAAGCCCCATGAAGTTGGAATAAGGCCGACAAACAATACAAATAAAGCTCTGAAGAGCACCAGTTCTCGGGTAAATGACAGTAATGTCTCCACGGTGGTAACAAAATTCCGCAAGTTAATGATATCCCGCATATACTGCAAAAGTCAATTTTGGAGTCAACATATACTGAACGATCCTGAAGCAATGTGTTTTGACTTCTCGGGTAACTAGTAGCAACCAAATAGATGTCACATATAATCGCTAGGTTATAATATAATCTTGCCGGCTTTCAGTAGGTTTTTCGCGACAGAAATCTGCATATCACACGTAAATCGGTTTGAAACTTGCATGGTAGCACACACAATAACGCAAATTAAGATAACACCAAATGGTGCCTGGTGGAGAATATGTTGCCACTGTTGAAGATTTTTGAACCCCAGTATTTTAAACTTTGCGTATTTTTAAGATAACATATGGGGTTGTCTTTACGTTCATACACTGTATGTGAGTTGTGCACAAATATGCATCTGTAGCAGGGTATGAGCGCGACTACATTTCTGCGCTAGGAATATGCACTCATCCGGGGAAGATTACTCGCTCATACTGCATGAAGTGCACTGTTCCCAGGCACAGCGTAACAGGGGAAATGCCTCACTGGTATTCAAACCAATAAGCTGCCGTGGTGTAGAAGGTAATTCTTAGGCAACGAGAAAAGCCATTGTTGTACAAAACTGTTGGTGTGCAGGAAAATTAAACAAAAATAATTCTTAATTCATAGTTACTGGGTTTTAGTTAGTGGCGAGGCTACAGTATTGTCTGCGTACTTCACATTTACCGTATGATGCCGATACTAATACAGGTTCTTTCATTACTGAAACTTATGCTCACGAGCAATACAAAACAATAGACGTACTTCTAATTGAGAATGGTTGCATACAATTTCATGGCCAGTATTTTTTCATCGCAGCCATAAAAGGAAGAATAGTGGTTTTGCAGTGAAAATTTTCCTATAAATCGGTTCGCGCGGACGCGATAAGTGCATTGAAACCCAATAAGTGTATGCATAATTATTGAAGGGGAGCGGTCGAGTTTCTCCAAATATCATGCCTCATTGCGTTCATTCGTGCATAAATAGATTACATATAGCAACCGATTTTCCGCGCAAAAATTGGATCAGGGCAAACTGTCCCCAACCCCCACCAGGTATTTAGAGTCTAATTCGGAATATCCAGAAGAATAGTTCGTTTTACGTCTCATGTATAACAAATTCTTTTAGCAAATTCTCCTGCAGGCGACGGAGGAAAAGATAATTGGTAGGGTTGCAATAACCGAGAGATATTGACAGATGATCAGGCGAGAATCAATTCGCTTGACGAGTTTAGCTATCGGATTATAGTACAGAATAGATGGCTGATACAATTCATGGGGGAACAACATCTTATGAAGAATTTAACGCTCTCCTGTGGACATGACAACACATATTGCACAAAGAAGAAAATCCAGAAAGTAAGCTAGCAAATAAATTACGCAATCAAAAAAATCATTGTGATCTGCGAACAACATTGATAAAAGTGGTGTGAAAATTAGACCACGCGACTGCGTCAAACCCTATTTTAAAATACTGTTGGATGTGCCCAAATAGACCAATGTGTGATAGTCAATCGTGTCAACTGCTGAAGCGTCGAAATAGAATCTTCTTGAATAACCCGATGTAAAAATAAATTCTTAATTCTCAGTCGACATTCCAAAAGCAAGTCTTTGACAAAAAATAAGAATTAATTTTGAAAAAAATGCTGATGTCGTTTAATGTGCGCGGCGAAAGTCGCAAAAGCCTGAGCAGCTCAGACAGAACTGGGACTACGTGCGGATAGCTATGCAAATTGCACAAACCCAGTCTGACCACAATTTATTTTTATTCACCCGAAAATACTACGAAAAAATAGAGGCGAATCGATAAGGCGGCCAATTTCGGGCTTCATGGTGAAAGTAAATCAAATATGGTTGTTCCATTACGTGTATAATATCTACCATCATCAACACCGTAGAACAGGTGATTCAATTCCCTTGGCCTAATTAAAGCCACGATACCAAATAGCCAAATGGAAAACGAAATATTCAGTAAAAGAAATATACACGCGCCGAATTCTGAACCACCCTAGAACCCATCCGAGGTGTCCTTAGCGCATCAGCATTAGGATCCTCCTCAAGCGGCTTGTACGATATTGCAACATCCCTGAGTACACAGTTAAAACTCATGGGCATCTGTATAAACCGTTGTAAACGAAAGATTATCCAGCAGATGTTATGCGGAAATTCATGGAAATGTCACTTGACAAAACAAACCAAAGAGTGAAAAGGCAAAGATTCGAGAGAATGTCGCAAATGTCTTTGAAATCGTTGTGGGTTTCAAACATTATCTTGAAAAGCTAGGCAACCAACAGGTGGGGAAAGCGCCTTTAATGCTTAAAGGTTGAATAGAAACAAATGGTCAGCATTGTGAACGAGCAGACAGCAGACGTTTGAAAGCTTCGTGTCTGACGAAATGGAAAGAGAATGCCACTCAGGTGGCGAATAACCACAACTTGTCACCAGACATGCAGCTAAAGTGTTCGAATGTGAAACTCCTCTTCAGACACTTTGCGTTCGACCAAATCCATCCGATGTTTGAATAACCTGAAATTGAACAAATAAAAATCGTTTAATCCCTCCATCAAAACAGAAACGGTAAAATGATCAAAAAACAAGATTAAATAAATTTTTAAAAAATTGAGAGACAACTTTGTCTACCAATTATACGGCGTAGTAGATGTGTGTAGATCATTGCGTAAAAAATCGGAATGGTACAAGGGACTACTGAAATTGACACATTCAACGGCAATGCTTAAAGGTTGAATAGAATCAAATGAAGGTCAGCACTGTGAACGAGCAGACAGCAGAGGTTTGAAAGCTTCGTGTCTGACGAAATGGAAAGAGAATGCCACTCAGGAGGCAAATAACCACAACTTGTCACCAGACATGCAGCTAAAGTGTTCGAATGTGAAACTCCTCTTCAGACACTTTGCGTTCGACCAAATCCATCCGATGTTTGAATAACCTGAAATTGAACAAATAAAAATCGTTTAATCCCTCCACCAAAGCAGGATCGGTAAAATGATCAAAAAACAAGATTAAATAAAGTTTTCTAAAAATTGAGAGACAACCTTATCTACCAATTATGCGGCGTAGTAGATGTGTGTAGATCATTGCGTAAAAAAATCGGAATGGTACAAGGGACTACTGAAATTGACACGTTCAACGGTTAAGTGGACGGTGATATGAAACATGTCAGAAATACTCGATCATATAAGTTGTCGGGCACTTCCCAAGCAAAATATCAAGACGATTAGACCAGTTACGAATGAAAGACCAGAGGAACAAATTTTGAGTCATTGTTACTCGCCCTTTTACTGTCCTTTCCCAAACATCTGATGTGATCCTGCGTACGACAATAGCTATACTTCCTGCATAATCGCGCATTTTTTCCGAGTCGGGTCTCCAGCATGATCTATATGGTCATAGGAATGACGGAATTGTAATTTTCGATAATTGACAGAGATCAGCACGGCTCCAAGTACACCTGAGATATTTCAGTTGGCCCGCTCAATTCAACCCAAACGGTCGTCAATTTTATGGGTTTCCTAAAGTGTTCTCGTGCGAAAATACACTTCGTAGAATTGGGTTGCAAACGCATTCAAATCGCCAAATTGACACATTCAACGGTTAAGTGGACAGTGACATGAAACGTGTCAGAAATACTCGATCAAATAAGTTGTCGGGCAATTCCCAAGCAAAAAATGAAGACGATTAGACCAGTTACGAATGAAAGACCAGAGGAACAAATTTTGAGTCATTGTTACTCGCCCTTTTACTGTCCTTTCCCAAACATCTGATGTGATCCTGCGTACGACAATAGCTATACTTCCTGCATAATCGCGCATTTTTTCCGAGTCGGGTCTCCAGCATGATCTATATGGTCATAGGAATGACGGAATTGTAATTTTCGATAATTGACAGAGATCAGCACGGCTCCAAGTACACCTGAGATATTTCAGTTGGCCCGCTCAATTCAACCCAAACGGTCGTCAATTTTATGGGTTTCCTAAAGTGTTCTCGTGCGAAAATACACTTCGTAGAATTGGGTTGCAAACGCATTCAAATCGCCGACCATGCGAATATGTGACACATGCTTACCACAAAACGGCTACTACCCCCCCCCCACAACTTGCCTCATCAACGCGTGGGTTAATGGCAACGCTCCCTTCTGGAACAAAATTTGCCACAAGTGAAAGCAAGGTAGGATGCATCAGGTAGACTAATGAGCTGGAGGGAAGTTCGCCGTCATGTATTTTGTTGTGACCTTCAGTGCTTGAGAAGGCTCGTACGTGCCATCAATCAAAATCTGTCAGTTACGCCTGTTCCACTGTGGATAGACTAGTGCTTCTGGATATCATTAGTTTGTTGGAGATGTGGATTTGTTTGAATCAGTATGGACGATTTCGTGGAATGCACATTCAAGGGGACCGTGAAAAATTACACGGAAGACATACCTGAAGAGAGGACTGTTGAATTGGTTTTGGTGACCGATAAAAGCTCCTGCGGTGAATGTTGCGTATCAGCTCAAACTTCCTTACCATAATATCGAAGACGGTCAGTTGTTTTAAGTTACCATATTCGCCTTGAACATGTCGCTTATGATTTTAGCGCACTGACAAGCTTGAAATCTTCTGGAAAAAAAACTCTGTTTTGTGCTACCTAGATTGCTCATCTATTTTTTCCTGCTGTGCGATGGAAGTATATGGTGGAGGACGTTGAGTCAACCACGACACTAGATCGCAACTGTCCTTGTTTCAATGCAGTCTAGAAGGGAAGCCAAGCTAGCATTGATAATAATATCGACGAACATTGAGCTTTTCAGAATTAATTCGCTGTGCTTCTCTTTTATTTACTGAAGGCAAAAGAAATTCCCCCATGGTTGCACACCATCTGAATGCCCACATAGTTTATTGCCATTTCTCATTTTGTCATTACGCTGACAACAATTTTTCCGTTAAAACATATCCAAATGTTTATCTCTAGCGTTATCCAACTTCAGCAACTGTCATCAACGCTTATGATAGGTAAAGCGACACTGCGCAACCTAAGTTCGACCTGGTTGAACAAAACTCCCTAGAGGGCTGTGCCGATAAGCAAAACCGGACAATTTGACGACAATTACGGTCACAAAATCGAAATGTTTCCTTTCACACACTATTTAGTCAGTACAGGTCTACTCTCAAAATTAAAACAAACATGTCTTTGTCATGTGAGTTGGGAACTAATCACAACAAAACAAATTTGGTGATAGCGCTATGAATATGGAATTTTAATTTGAGCGTTCCACTCTACTGGTAATGACTGGGAAACGGGATGCGCAAAATTATCTTTCCAGCTAGTATTTGCGCCAGACATACATCGCTGCTTTTGAACTATTACACCGGTCGTTCTTCACCGGAATTTTTCCATAGTTGTATCTGATAGCTCGGCAAAGCCACGAGAGACAATGTAGAGATTATGGCACCTACCGCGGATGTTTAGAGGCCGAATCATCTTCCCCCGTGTTACCCCAGACTAAATCTCGTGAATTGGAGGTAATTTCGCACTTGTGAATATGAAGTATGAAATAATCATGACAACCTCTCACACGACAATGACCATGTCGGATCAAAGTCGCCAATTGGCCGGATGACCAAGCTAAATAAATTTCCGATTTAAGAGCCTTTATCTATGGCATCAGCGTGAACACAGACAGCACGTTTGGCCAAGTAGGGCATCTGATAACAGATTCACCAGGCACGGGTGTAAAGAAGCTGTTGCGTTATGCTGGTTTGCACTTGCTAATCCGAACAAGTTTTTGAAAAACATTACATGTTAACGCATGTCTGCCATTCTGCAGTCTCAAGCATAGCATACTTGCAGGTCACAACGGGTGACACCACAAGTGTTCACGCCGAATACCAGAGCTATACGAGCTGATTGAGGCCAACACACAATACACCCCGAGAGTCAAAACATACTGTTTTAACTGGCAATGCTGGATGTGTTTAATTCTAATTCATCGCCATTGATTTGAACCAGTTCATATGACAGCAGATCTCTGTGCGTTGGTTCCAGTTCGTAGAAAGATGCTGTGTCGAATGCTCCGTTTACTTTTACGACTATTAGCCAGATCTCGTTAAGTCAAACATTTTCGGGCATAGTTCTATGAAGTTTACATCAGCGTTCAGTAGAAGGGCTTGTATATCGAAAAACAGAATCCGAGTTGCTTCTGTGTTTGCCAAATTCCGCAAGCGGAATCAAACGACGTATAACTAACGAGTGGTGGCGCCAAATGCGTTGATATTATCACATGCGCCAACCGGTACCACCCACAATGCTACAAATTTAATCTGCGATCAAGAAAATTAAATAATACCGTTCCTGATTATTTGCCAGTTTATTCCGGGAGACGTTTTGGCCCGATGTGTCCGCCGGCCAAGTTAACAGTTTATTTCTACTATAATTGTGAGTCACAGATGGTTACCTTATTTGACACCTAGAAAATGAAATTTATTTCGGCAAGCGGTATCATCATCAGCATAGATAAAACAAGCATTAAACATACCAACGCATATGTGCGCTAAAACCACGGCGAGAAATGCCGAAGCAAATGGCGCACAGGTGTATGAATTCCGATAAATTTGTTCAGATAACATCAATTCCACTAGAAAAAGTGATCCTATTTACAATGGCCACAATTTAGCGTTAGGAGACATGCGTTTATTGATTTCTCATAGCTTGGAGTATTTTAAATATCCGTTTCCTCAGAATTGAAACCAAAAGCCCATTCAAGCGGCCGCACATACTTAAATCAGGATTGCATCCTGTCATGTCGCACACGCACTCACGAGATGAAAAGAACTTGTTTGTTAACTAGGTGTCCAGTATGCATTATGCCAAGGGATTTTGGTTAAGCTTTAGTAAAATTTTTGATTTTGCTTGATACTGCCAAACGAATATGATGCAAGTGATTTTCTAGTGATTTCTGCTCAATAGATGTTAGTTTTTTCACCTCCAAACGCGCACTCTACTTTCACGTTTTTCGCCACATTTTTGCCTGTATTTTGAACTGATATGTTTTCTAACCAACATCTGAAGCGTATTTGTTAATATTGGGCAATTCTTATCACAATGACACAGTTTGCACCGTCAAATGAAGCCATGTCAACGGCTTATCAGCGATCGCCCAAACGATCCACGTCGCACAACCCAAAAAAAAACATTTCGAATTTGAATAGCAAAGTACAAGCCTGAAATAACCTCCTGGTTTGGTTTGTTGAAATTGTAGCATGTTAGCGCTGGCGGAGCCAAAGAGATAAAATACAAGGAAGCAGTTTCATAGAACAGTTTCACGCAAATTTTAACAGTAGATATAAAGGTGCCTTGAGCATTCTCTAGTAGTGTAGAATATGCCTTTGCCGACAAAGTATAGATCGAGTTACCTCTGATGGTTCCGCTCTTTTGAGGTAACCCTCAATCTATGGTCTAGAAACAAAAAACCGACCGGATACAAGTCACGTATTTGTATTAGATTTTTTCTAAATTTGCCTCGACCCTTAAAGCGACCTAATTGTGATTGTGCACGCACAAGAACTAAATTGATGGACTGGAAATTGAGACTTTTGAAGGTTGCCTAATCAGAAGCCCGTCAAAACCGTGACACAAGCGAATTCACCTACCCAAACATAACAGTCTTGATGATTATGTCCAAAGAGGGAAACCCTGCCGCTTTCGCCTTAAAACCTTTGCAATTCTTCTTTGTCTGCCCAGCATCCGCTCAATGCGAAAGACTCCGAAGTGTGGCTTGCTCCCCTGTGTCCAACCAAACATGAAGCGAACAAACAAACCAAATGCAATTAACCAAAAAGTTCTTCGAAGTTCCTTTGTATTTGACCACGCACCTCCACTGTTTCAGACCCCTTGTATTACTGAGTGCAATTCGCATATTAAAATTTGCTTCACAGTGGAAAAACAAACCAAATGCAATTAACCAAAAAGTTCTTCGAAGTTCCTTTGTATTTGACCACGCACCTCCACTGTTTCAGACCCCTTGTATTACTGAGTGCAATTCGCATATTAAAATTTGCTTCACAGTGGAAAACTTGTTGCCCGGCGCGTGGTTGTTTAGTCAGTTACAACAAGCAATCTTAGTGGTGAGTTGCGGCGCGAGACCACAATGTGATTCCTTGTGGTTTGCGTTGATACAGTTCGCACGAAACTAAGCACAGTTGATTAGCGCTGCCTAAATTTTGGCATGACCTGACAATTAAAAGACCCAAATTGAGGCCTGCAATTTGTAATAAAAAACACCATTAACCGGCGCGAAAAGTCCACAAAACGTCATACATTTTAATAGACTGTGATATTCTTGATTCGCAACTCATTTTGCACTCACCCATCTGGATTTCAATTTGGCAAGGGACATTGCACAACAGCTCATAAGTGTGTTCCTAGTGTTGGTGTCTTCTGTCTCGTTAGAAGCCCTGTCGCAAATGTATTGGATGTGGATTTGTGCATTGAATCTTAGCCAAAATGCCTTTTTTATCAAAGACTGACTACCCTTCCGGAAAGAAATATATTCGTCGCGTGTTAGTCTGCAAACACATGTATTCGAATTTGAATTAACACACTAATGAGCTCCAGGAATATGCCGCGTTGCTGCAGGTTATACCAGTTTGATAAAACCTAGCAGATCAATTAGTGAATAATTAATTATTTAATTAATATTTTTCGGGGTGTGTGTAGGGGCATTCTCAACAAATTTCATTGTGCCTGGATAATCTAATATCTGGTCAAGTTGTCAGTGATTGGTCACTGTGTTTTCACCATGGCAACCAATTATTGTGCTCATCAGCCTAAAGGCGACTGGATAATATTGTTGAACAACTCACGCTAAAACGTTATCCCCTCTACGACATTAATCTCAGGGATAGATCACAAAGTCACAAGTTGGCGAACACTGACTACGTGGTTCGTTTTCATCACATTTGCAGGTTGTTTCCTGACCCGAATTACAACACACCTGTGACTAGTAGCCAGTGCATCAAATAAGTTCTTTAGAATTTCGGAGCACACGGACAAACTCGAACGAAATGAACGGACGATGTTCAGAATCCCATTATATCCCTGGGGTTCGGTAAGTATCTCAACGTTTCGCATCGTTCAAATTACAAGGTGCAATATTTTTGCGCAATCATGATTGAGCAAACTGTGTTGCACAGCTTGCTTGATACTGGTTCCCCGTCAATATGGATACCTTCGGATCGCGTGGATAGAAGTCTGTGGGTTGACAAAGGACTACTGAATGTGACACAGGCATCTTCGCTTCTGGTCGGAAGAGATATCTTCTGTCAGCTCTACGGGGTGGCAATGTAGGTGGAATGAAAGCAACGGTTCACATGAATGTAAGTCTGTTGCGTCGAATACTCCCTAACTACTCCAGTTTGTCGGTATGCTTATCGGTAACGTGGCGTTCGTTCTGGTGATGGCAGGTGATGAAAACCTGTATGGTAATCCCTTCGACGAAATTATCGGATCAGGGCGGCAGTCAATAATTCCGGAAAATAAAAATCCCATTTTTCATTTTTTACATCAACAAGGATTGATGAGCCGGAAATTTGGCTTCTACTTCCAGGATTCAGTTGAACGTTTTCCTAATTTAACACCATTCATAATAGATAAAATTGTTAACAATTATCGCCAGTTATATGTCAGTCAAAACAGTATCTCCAAAGGTTTGAAGTGTTTACAATCACATTTTGCTGTTACCTTTTCAGTGGCAGCACATTCGTGTGGGCGACAATCTCGAACAACTCATTACTGCACCTGTAGCTTAAATAAACGTTGTTGATGGACCTTATTGGGAGACGAATGTTAACTGGTAAGCGAGTGACTTTTACGGCTCACCTATATCAGTCGCCCGAAAACTGAAATCATCCCCTAATTTTTGTACATATTTTATAGGATATTCATTTCTAACACGGGATTCTACAGGGAACACCATATGATGATTTTTTTGCTACTGGTACCAACACAGTCAGTCTGCCAGAAGATATTCACATGGTGATCAATGAAGTCCTGGGTATCTGGAGAAAAATGCACCATGTTTATGTGTTCGACTGTGGAATGCTGCGTTTTCCTCCCCCGATCTTTTTCCAAATACAAGGGAAAATGCTCCAAATTATGCCGAAACGGTACACAAAAAAGGTAGATAATATCTTGCGTACAAGCGATCAGCCGATTATACTTTGAGGAGTGACACTAAACAAAATGCATGCCATTTAATTTACACGTGGATGGGTTTACCCATCGGCAGATTTGTTAAGAGTAAGACTCGCATGAGAAGCGATAGTGCGTGTTCACTTGAATCAAGCTTGGATAATAAAAGTGATCTGGGATCCACCACGCCCACTTTGTTGGATATAATTAAACGCTTTCTTCCGAGGTACACTCTATTTTTTTTCAAAATAAGATTTAAATTTTACTTTTCTGGGAAAAAAAACATGAAAACGTGAACAACGTAACACAACAGACAACTTACCCAGTTGAACTGCAGCCACAGTTTTCAAAAACGGAATATTCAAAAACAGAATAAATTAATGATTGCAAACACCGAAAAGTTTGCAAGAGGTACTAACTGGCTAGCCTTCTCGCAAGAAACTGGGAACACAGTGCAGGTGTAAAAGACGGTGCGACATGCCGCCTCTATTTAGTTGGACAACCCCAGTTATTTGGAGAATAAATTCACTCGTCTAAAATGGCCTGATACATACCAAATCCGACCATTGCAATAACTTGAATTTTTCGCGAATTCAGTTTAGTGTAGTTCGTTTAATTGTATGTCTTCTGGAAAGCGCTCAAAATCCAAAGGAAAATAATTGATATGCAGTTTGGGTACCAGTAAGGATCTTTTCTGAAATTGAGTAGATAGCTTTTAGCAATACGTATTATGCATTATGTTATGGTTTATTTATCTTCTGCTTATATTTCTACCATTTCTGCTTTATCGCTGTATATGAGAAACTGGAAAAGGAGTTTGCATATGTGCCCCTCAGTAAAATATTCTGAGAAAAGACCAGTTCTGTTGTTGTTGTTTTTGATGTTGCTTAATTTGTTAAACAAATTTTCCACAGACAACCATCGATGGAATTACGATGTGTTGCACTCGTTTTCAAAACAACACTCCCAACTGCCCTGTGGATATCGTACTGGGAATGGCCTTCCTACATCCATTTCAACTGATCTTCGACAACCACGTGGGTAGAGTTGGATTTTCTGCGCGTCCCGAAAAGTCTTTTATTTCTTAATCAAGTGAAAAAGCATCATGACTATACAGCAGCCATAACAAGCGAATTAAGCAGCACAAACAACAATCGTGCGTATATTCATGTATTTTTGTTACGTTTCAGGAGGATGAAATGCAAAATGTAAAAACCGCATCCACCTGGATTGTCTCAATACTTTGGCAGTTAAAGTATCCTAAGTTCGGTCGCAGTGTGCACGTGGATTTTATTTGGCTTTCAGACAAGAACAATGTATCCGTGCTAAATAACCATGAGTACGAACTGTTACATAGGTAATTCCCACAGGATCCTGCTTGGCAAAGTTGCGACTTGCCAGCACGGATGCCTATCATCAATGCGAAGTTGCGTTTTCGAAAGCATTTACTGATGTCCAGAAGTGTACATTCAAATTGCCTATCAGTTCTCTTGGTTCACGCAGTGGGATAGTGGGAATTTACGAAACTAGGCGAGTCCAGAGGTCGGTTTGTAAGACCGAAAGTTTTCGAGATGCGCCTACGGAAAGCTTCATCAATTGCCAATTATAAGATCGTGAGTAGAAACTCATAGATTCAAACGTTCTACACCACCAAGATCAACCGCCGTCCATTTCTACACGTCGTGGGTTACTTGTATTCTGGAACAGCATAAACTGATTTTAGACAACACGAGACTAGATATGTTTGGATCCTCTGAAAGTTGTGTGCGTGCAAAAAAGGCCAATGCGGGTGCCAATAGGCAATCAATTGAACACCTTATCTAGTGGAATTCAGCTTGTGTTGCTAAGGTCACAACAAAGCGTATATCATAGGTGGAAAAAATATCAACTTCTGACTGAGACTTTATGTTAAATATGAACAAAATTTTCCCACGTATTTAGTTTCAAAAAGCTGTCGATAATCATGGCGCAAAAGAGAAAATATAAATGTGGTTTCCCTCGGCTTCACTGGATGTTGACGGCCGATATTTATACTCTGCATACTCAGATAAAACTAAATTTGTCTTAGTAGGATTTTGGGGTGCTTATCGTACTACAGTCTTTTCCTCATCTTTCGTCATGTATTTTGGAATCCTGTCAAAAGACATCGCATTCTACAGTGCACAAATCTTACTGTTTACATTATATTAGTTCACTGACAGCTTATGAACGTCCTTCTGGTACCTAATGGTGTACTTATTAAATGCAGCTTACCCCACCTGATGGAAAAGAGCAGTTTTACTTCGAGTAACCTATAGTTTTATGGTCAAACTGGATTAGCAGTTGATTGAGGCTTTTGGGCAGTCGTTCGGCAACTTTTGCGGTTCTGTCGGCTTTCCAACATGCATACCGGCGGCCTGCACATCAACATCTGCACTTTGCCTTTGCTGATGGTATTCGGGAGGAACCCAATCAAAGTAACCATTGTAAAATTAGGATATGCATCTTGTTGGGACATCCAGACAAACGACAGATTAGCGTATTTTACTGCACCAAGTGAGCTAATCTTGAGTGAAGCAAACGGTGCAACCTCGAGTGCTCTTTGTCAGTTGAATTCAAACAATAAAGTGGTAATGTGCTACTCGGAGGCAACAAATGATGATGGTGCAGCCGCAAAAGCATTAGTGGCATGAAAAAATGAAATGAAAAAAATAATTCTAAAATCTGTCCGAAACATTTTCAATGAATTGGGTCTGATTCATTTGCTAATTTGACGAATCGATTTCTGCGTAATAAGTTACTTGGGGATGCTCTTGAACTGCCACCACAAATTGGTGGCATCTTATCTAAGTCGGTTGACACAAATAAGCGCTGCGCAAAACGCCGCAGTTTCAACGAAATTCCTCATCATTTCGTTTCTTTGATTAGGATAAGCGTCCACGTTTGTTCAATATAGAACGCAATTCCGACGAACAGTAAGAAGCAAACGAGGGCCACCCAAACCAACGTACTAGGTATGTTTATGGACACCGCACAGTTGACAGCAGCCTGGTGCATAATATTTCGTTTTCCATTGGGCTTGAAAGCAACAGCGGCAAGGACCTTCGAGCGTTTGGAATTCACCGCCAAACTATGGACATAAAGCCACTGAAGTCTAAATAATTATATGGGTTAATGTTGGCCTGCCGATTGCCCCAGTAGACCCCAATCCATCCAAAGGAACAATGAGGGAACTGAGGGCTGTCATCAGAAAAATGAATAAGGGACACCTAAAGAAGGAAACACTAAGCACCATTCCTTAAACACCAGAATTATGGTGAAAGCATAGAACGACGATTAACTAAAATTGTTGGATGTGCTGTTAAATAGAAAAACACAAAACGAGGTCAACTAAAAAGCAGCCCACTTGGATCAAGCCCTCAAATATCATAATAAACACCCTGACCTCTACAAGCAATGCATTCCACTACAAGTGTAATAAATTACGCAGCAACGCCAGAGAGTTATAGAATAATTTGAAAGACCTGCTCCCAGTCTATTCCAAAACAGTGGGTGACCGAAAGGAAGGAGCAACGCCTAAAAAATTGCGGCATTCAAGCGACAACATGTAAATGAAGTTCAAGCTAATCTAATAAATCATTTATATATTTATTTATTTATTTACCCATCTACTTTTTAATTTATTTACTTAAGTTACTTGACGAGGAACAAAAAGTAAACTGAGCGCGAAACCGCAGAGTTTTAAGAGAGAAAGTTGGCAGCCGAAAGGAAGGATAAAGTGACTAACCAAATAAACATCAAATGAAGATTTCTTCAAATAAATCAGGTTATCCAATGGACCAATAAACTCCAAAACAAAGAAGAATCGGTAAAATGTTCAACAGAGAGAAAATCAACCGCTGGAAATAAAAGTTTTCAAAGAGGATCGTAAAAAAGACGAGAAAACTGTCTGAAGACCGAAGCAAATCTGATGCACCAGTGATCAATAAACATTAAGTAGCAGTATAAATAGTGGCGCTCTTGTGACCATGCTGACGTCAGCAAGCGTACAAATCGACATTTCTTATATCACAATCCATTCTCCCGTATTTTTCCTTTTGATAGAAGAAGTCTCCGAAGCTACATTAGACTTAAATTGCGTATCGGAACCACAGCTAAAAATATACCACCAAAACGCGGATCAAATTTATGGGCCATTTAAATGCGCATGTTGGCGAAATGCTACCATTCTCTCTTTGTGCCGTTCGGTTATCAAATCAACTGCCACTTGATCGACAGACTTATGATACACCAAGTCTATCAACATTTCAACCTATTTGCACACTGCTGCTACAATCGATAAGTAAAAATTGTATTTCGTCCTCGTGAAAAT